AAAGAAGAAGATCTATGAGTTTGCGGTACCTCGAGACATCCAAGAGTATATGCTGAGTAGGCAATTGGAGATTTGCTAAATATTCTGGAGAAAAGATGACATTTTCTCTCCCATAACATACCAAAGTAAATTTCAGACGGATTAAAGATTTAAATGCACAAAACTAACTCATACGTGATTAGAATAATATAACAGAATATTTCTAAAATCTTGATATACAGAATCTTTCTAGCATGAAACAAGAGAAGAAACCAAAATAAAATATCCCAATGTAATTATGTAAAATTAAATTATGACATATGGAAAACAAATTATCTTATACACACTTTAAAGGCAAGTGGTAGTGGGAATTATTTGCAACCTATGGCCGAAAAATGTAAAGTATTTAATCTAATGGGCCATTTCAAATCAGGCAGAATAAAGATTGGCATGAACGGTCTGGCCGAGAAGTGGACAAAGAGCAGGAACAGGGAGTTCACAAAAGAAGAAACACCAATAACCAGAAACATATTTAAGAAGTTTTCAACCTCACTAGAAATCAAAGACCAGCAAATTAAAACAACACTAAAATGGTAGTTTTGACCATCAGGATGACAATTCTTAGTATCTGTGTCAAAATGAAGGAATCAATGCCCCAGTGTACTCTTGGTAGGAGTGAATATTGGTACAATTTCTTTTTCCTGGAGAGTTATATGGAAATATGTATGTATTCTCCCAGGCCCTGGGATTCTATTTCTGAGAAATCATACCAAAAAATAATAACACAAAGATGTACATGTAAGAATATTCCTTGCAATGCTGTTTGTAACAGGGAAAAGTTCTCAACTGCCCAAAAATTGAACTGTGGACAGACTAAAAAAAGTCATGATATTTCATACAATGGACTACAGGGCAGCCAGTAAAAATGATAGAATAGAAGCATATCCCTTGATATGAAAACACATTTATAAGACACATACATTTTTAAGTGAGAAGTGGGTTACAAAACAGTATGAGCAGTATGATTCCTTTTATGTTCAAATATATATGCATATACACTATACACTATATACTACACACACACAGACCTTCAGGAAAATCCCTGGATGTCAAAATGTATCAGAATGTTAATAATAGTTATCTAATAGTGCCGTTTTACATGGTGGGTTTTTTCCCCCTATAGTCCCATATTTTCTAATTTTTCTTCCATGCTTTTTATTACTCATGGGATAAAAATGCCTGGAAAAAAACCCCAGGATGCTTCCCCAATATTATTTTTGTCGCCACTGATGAGTATTAATGTCTGTGTGTGTTTATAAGTCATTCAGCAAAACAAAACCATCTGCAAATCATTTTTTGGAGTGAGCCCACTTCACAGTCCCAGGAAAACCCAGAAGGAAAACACAGGATGTGACACATGTAGAAGGAAGATCAGAAGTTGTTTCTCCCACATCTTGGCTGTTGGCAGCTTCCCTAGAAGCACAGATGAGGCTGCCTGGGGATGGATTAGGGACCCAGGCTCTGTGAAATTCTCTAGGATTGGCCACAGTGGCTTTGCGAGGGAAAGGTGAGCCCAACAAGGTGCTCTCTGGCCAGCGATAACGTGTTTTTCTGAGGCTTAAGTGGCCACCTTCTTCTGTGTGCACCTGATATGTCGGCCTCGTCCAGCTTCCAAACCAGAGTGACCCTGGTGCTTGGGTTAGTTGAGCAAAGCTCTGAAAACGTATGAGGGCCGTCCAGAAAGTGCACAGCCATTGTAGTATAATAAATGACTCTGTTTGGCTGGATACTTTCCAGATGACCCTCGAAGACTTCGTCCTACTCTCTAAATTTCAGGACTCTTGGGTTCTATTGGAAAAGAAAAGGATGGAACGTTTTCTATTCCAGTGGTTCAGACTTCCTTTTGAGAATCTAATGAAATTTTGAGAGGCTCCCCTCAGCACATACACATCCATAGAACATTTCACGTCTGTTTTCGGAGATTCACAAACTCCCTGAAGCTCACGAGGGCGAGACTTAGAGGACGGGCTCCAAGTCATGTTGGAAGTGGCTCCTAGAAGTGGCTCCTCACACCCCGTGTTCAGTGGTCACCAAGACACCTGGTGAAGCCAGCCCTGTCCACCCGGCTCTCCCCTACCTGCTGCTGTCACTCACAACAGACCCTGGACCCTTACTTTCTACTACCAGTTTTCTTCAGTTTTCAAAATTCTGTCACTTTTATGTCTTTCAATAAAAATAAATGTGGTTGCTGAAAGCAGTTTCTGCAGAAGACACATTTGATCCTTCTTTTCCCCTCCTGACTTTCATCAGCACTTACACTTTTCAGGTGTTCATGTAACAACTCATCTCTCATGTTCCAAAGCCACAGCCCTGGAAAAATACAGCAATGACAGTCTCAGCAAGTTTAAGCACCAAACGCTGCTTTCAGAAGAGCCTCATTTAATGACAACACAGTCGATTGTTTTCATCCAAGCAATGCCTCATTACATTTTGCGACTATATTCGTGTTTTGCAATACTTTACTCATGGATGGTTTGGGGCTTTTTAACATCTGCAGTCTCAGGCATTTGGGGGTAAATCTGAAAACTCAGTTCATGTATTACTTGCCTATAAACCCTGGTGCACAGACGCATGTGCCGTTCAGGCCTTCGCTGTCACAGGTGGCTCCGTTCAGGCAGCTGACGTTGGCGCAGGGATCCTTGTACAACTCACAATGTGTTCCTGTGGAGAAACAGGCAAAACAGGGTGACTCATCAAGGAATCTCCAGCTCCCACGGCCTTTAAAAACAAAGTGTTTGAACAGCCTAGGAGGATGCAGGAGGAGATTCCTGGCGTGAACGTGTGTGTGCACGTGCCCACTCGTGACTGTAGATTGTTGTCAAAAACATGCCTTATGAGAAAATAACAAATTCAATCCCTGCCCATAGGTCCCACCAAAAAGTCTTTTATCTGTACTTTTTCCAAAGACTTGGGAACAAAAAGTTAAAAGCCTGAAAGATAAAATTAATAACGTGCTCTCTAAGGCTCCAAAAGAAAACAGAAAATAGCTAGATGGCCTTAATAAAATATCAAAATAATTGATAACAGCATCCTGAAGATGAAGATTTGGAATCAGATATTTAAATGAGGCCCAGTTCTACTTTGGAGAACTGCAGGGGGCAGGGAGAGAGCCGCTCCATACTTAGATTTCATGCTCAAAGACATGATCGGCTCAGCACACACTAAAGCCGTTGTGCACATAACACACTCCAGGTCCTCACTCTGTGCTTCAGATCTAATTCATGCCTCACAACAACACTGCGAAACAAATGCCCTTATCCCCCCATTTTACAGATGAGGAAACTGAGGAAAGAATCCAAGATCACAAGGCTGGTACAGGAAGTAGCTGGAATTTGACCTGCTGGAATTCTGAATCCAGAGTCTATGTTTGCCGGTTTGCTGAGAGTGAGCTCAGACTGGCCATGGGTGTACACAAAATTCTCTGGAGCTCAGTACTTACTTAACAGAGAAAAGGCATTAAAAAAAATCTGTGAGTAAAAACAGAAAGTTTCCCATCTGTGTTAAAAATTATATGTGTGCATGTATGCAAATGCCTGAAGTGGAACTGAATTACTTTCAGGAGAATAGATTACTCGACTTTCCCATCTGTGTTATTTCTACATCATTGGCATTTTTCATGAGTATATATTATTTTATAACTTTATAAAAACCTTTATAAGCCCAATGCTATTTGAAAGGTGGGATATCTGCCGGCGGCACACTGGGGCGCTGAGATGGATGAACCGGTCACTGTCTCTCCCCATCCCTCAACCTTTAGAGCGGAAGATAAATTACATTTTATCCTGGATATCATGTACATAACGTTATGTCCACTCTTCCTCACAGCCTCGAGAAAAATAAGCATATAGCAAACAGTCACTGAATGGTATTTAACTTGATTCTCTGTCCACTTCACTTCTCAGCTCATATTGTGCAAGGGACCGCCACACCCAATGACTCATCATTTAGGCTCTTAAATTATCCTCGCTGGCTTTTCTCTCCTTTCTTTTTCAATGCCTTAAGAAATAGGGCTTAGGAAGAGGGAAAGGAAGTAAGAGCAAAAAGAAACAGAACTTCCTGTCCATATTCACATCAAGGACTTATTTGAGGCAGGTAAGCCATTTCAGAATGAATGGTCTTTAATTCCTTTTCATCCTTTGCCCCTCATATCGGAGCCATCAGCGACACTCTGCCGGATATTTTCCGAAGTGTCTTGCAGATCTCTGCCTTGCTTTTCTTTCTGAGACCACTACCGCGATGCCACTGCCTCGTGCCCGGTGAGATACGGTTCCTGGCAGCCGCGTCCTGGTTTCATCTCCACGACCAGGGCCTTGAGTGAGCTTCCCTGGCTTTCATCATTCCTAACAAACCCAGGATGCACGTTAATACAAAAGATCAAACTAATCTAAAGATTAGCTTGAATCTGGTAATTCTTCTTCACCTGGGTGTGTATGGCCTCTTCTTCCAGAAGTCTCTGTTTTTAATTTCCCACAGATTCCCACGTAGCATGAGCTCAACTGAAAGAATAAAATGCACAAGAGCCCTTTCTGCTTCAAAATATTTATCACAAAACAGAGTCACATATTTACAAGTTCCCACTGGGCTGATCGATGGGGGCCAGGTGACAAAGAAAGGCCTTCAATTGTAACGGGAAACACAGCCACCACCTAAGTTCAGAGATGTCCGAAGCCTAAAAAACATTTCCATTAGACCTAAAGTAAAAGGAATCCAATGATCTCCACTGGTTTTCTCGTAATACAGTAGCCAATAACTAACACATTAGTGTGCAAATTACTGCATATTTATTTATCTATTTATTTTCCCGGTTGAAAAGCAGGAGCATTTTTCAAACAAGGCTGAAAAGCAAATTCTGGGCTAAATATTTAAGTATTTTAACCTTAAAGTCTTCAATAAAATAGATTTGATGAAAACACTCAAGGTAATAGGCAATTTCAATCTTTTGGGTATTTGGGTTGGGAGGGTTGGCAATCATTTTATCCTGTGTTATTTCTCTTTTCCAAGAGATAAGACATTTGAGCACGTGAGCATCCAGTGAAAGGTTTCTGGCAGCAAGACTGGACAAAAGCTAATCTTCACGGAAACGCAGTTACTGTGAAGCAAGATGGTGTCAAAAATCTCCAGTGAAATCCATTCTACTAAGTGAAATATCCCAAGAACGGAAAAATGAGCACCACGTGTACTCACCAGCAAATTGGCTTTAACTGATCAACACCTAAGCGCACATATAGTAATAACATTTATCGGGTGTCAGGCAGGTGGGACGGGGGAGGAGGGGATGGGTACATACATACATAATGAGTGTGATGCGCACCGTCTGGGGGATGGACATGCTTGAAGCTCTGACTTGGGGGAGGGGGCAAGGGCAACATACGTAACCTAAACATTTGTACCCCATAATATGCTGAAATAAAAAGAAAAAAAGAAAAAAAAATCCCCAGTGAGCACTTTGGTTACTCATGTTCCTATACTCTAAGCCTTGCTATTAATAATCCCTATATAAAAATATTTGTCATATTGCTCAGCTTGTCATTAGAGCGGAGCAACTCTAGATACAGAAAATAGACAGCTGTGGACTCTACCGATGTGCCCAAAGGCCTCCATTCAAACCCTCCCCCGTGGCCGCTGGGCCCACCTTCCCACCCTCCTCAATACTCCCCAGGAACCGAGTCTTGGGCTGTTTCCTCAACACGTACACCTTGTTCCATCCTCTTCCCCAACCTAGTCTTCACCTGGCACTTTTTAACTTATCTGTCCAGTCCCAATTCAAACGCCCTCTCTCTGGAAAGCTGAACCTTGACTCTCCCAAGACAGACCTCATTCTTCAGCCATCACGAGTAGAGAACACAGTGGGATTCCCATTGTTGCAGAGTTTCCTGTGCCAAATCATAACTTATCTGCTCTCCTGTCTGGTCCGCCCACAAATCTCTGAGGTCCTGTAGAGCAGAGGCCGTTATTTTAATGCATGGAAGAAATCACGGCCATAACACCAGAATCCTGTCCTTTCAGGAGGGGCGACAGCCAGTGTACTTTGGCTGAAACACAGGTGAGATTGCCAGAGGTGAGAGAAGCCATTCCAAATTCCAAATCTGCCTCAAAAACACCCTATTCTTTCAGGGAGAGCCAGGTCCACACTTCAAGCTAGGTCTGTGGAATGACATATGCATCAGCCATTGGCAAAGGACGCAGCACGCACTATTACGAAACTTATGTTTAGTCTCAAGCAAAAATAAACTGTAATTCAGTCAAAACCAATAAAAATTATGCTTTTCATATTAAGGGACAGAGAAGCAATGTTTCTGAAAATATTTCTATTCCAATAGGGCTCTTTACATAAGTTAATTTCAGCATTGAAATGAGGAAAGATTCAAAGAGCAGAGCACCAATTATAAATCTTTGTTGTCATCACAAATGTAGTCACATTTAATATTTGAAAACTGAAAATCATTATTTTATCTCCAGGAAAAGTAAGCCGGGTAAAGAAAATTAACTGGAAGTGTTCTTTGTGCTTAATATTTACTTTAAGATATCATTTTATTTTATTCAAACTTAACTTCTTTCATGAAAACTTTCCCGGTATTTCAACCTCCACAGAACTCAAGATTTGCTAAAGCATTTCAGAAATTACTATTGACATCTCAACCTTAACCTCATTATTCCTTGTGTGTGTCAGACCCAGTCTGCTCTTCTGGTTAAATAATAGCATGAAGAAGGAAGGAACCCTGACTTATCCATTTTTGTATCTACTGTAGTACTTGAGAAAGGCTAGGCATACAAAATAATCAGAAATTCCTCATCACCGGTTAAGCAGAATCTAGCAAAGGAAATAATTTTATCCAACACAGGAAGAGGTCTCATCCTTTCAGTTAAAATTTCTGTAGCCTTTAAAAATAAACAAGTAGGTACAACATGATCAAACCTATAATCCGGTGATCTCATTTCTGAGACTCTATCCCTAAAAAAATAATCCAGAAAGTATGAAAATTATATAAAGATGTTCATTCCAGAATTATTTATAATAACTCCACATCAGATACAACAACAAGGCGATGGATAAATATTCCCTCATGGGAACATCACAGAGCCATTTAAAATAAAACTAGTGAGACTTCCTAACAACATATAAATCAAATATAATATCTTGTTAAGTACATGCAGAACAATATAAAATTGTAGGTATACTCAATTACAACTCTAAAAACATGGATATTAAAAAAGAATGGAAAATTACTATGGCTTTTTTGTTATGCTATAAAACCAGGAGCAATTTTGAATTTTCTCTTTTTTTAAATTTTTATTATTGTTATATTATGTTCATAATTAAAAAATGAAGGCCGGGCGCGGTGGCTCATGCCTGTAATCCTAGCTCTCTGGGAGGCCGAGGTGGGAGGATTGTTTGAGCTCAGGAGTTTGAAACCAGCCTGAGCAAGAGCGAGATTCCGTCTCTACTAAAATTAGAAAGAAATTAATCAGACAACTAAAAATATATAGAAAAAATTAGCCAGGCATGGTGGCGTATGCCTGTAGTCCCAGCTACTCAGAAGCTGAGGCAGGAGGATCGCTTGAGTCCAATAGTTTGAGGTTGCTGTGAGCTAGGATGACGCCACGGCACTCTACCCCAGGCAACACAGTGAGACTCTGTCTCAAAAAAAAAAAAAAAATGA